ATTAATTGAATTTGAGGTAAAATTGAATGCGTGTGTGTGTGTGTATTTGAATAATTGACTAGACATTGTATATCTAATTGTAGAGGGAAACAAATGAATTTGATCAAAATATTTCTGATGTGTATGATTAATGATCTAGTTGTTAATTATTTGTATTAAGATTTTCATTACAATCGTAATGTTTATGGAATAGTGTGCGGTGTTTAGTCTTTTAATGGATCAAATTTAAACAACAGATCTGAAGTACAAATCTCGTATCACGTTATTATTCTTTATTAGTCAAGTAGTTTCATAAGTCACTGTTTTATTAGTGTCAATTAAGGCTGACGCATTAATCCGTAATTTGAACATAAATTATGGAAAAAAGCAAATGTTTTATCGTAGTCAGTGGTCTTGAGTGCTGTTGGAGTTTTGAGGGCGGTTATCACTTTCTGGGTGCCCACACCGTGAAAGGGTCTTTCTGGAGGTACCTTAAAAGGAAGTTTGGATTAAGGGTGGTCTTAGTGACCTGAGAGCGTGACCACAGTGCCCAAGGGATAACTGCTTGAGGTCGGTCACACACGACCTTTTCATGGGTAACTTTTGTGTTAGCACCGTACTTGTTGAGACGTTAACGCCGGAGACGGAAGTCGGTGGGATAAGGCGAGTTGTTCATTTTTAGGGTCGACCTTTTCTAACCCCACACCTCTTTGTGGGAGGTAGCATCGCTGTTATGTTGGTTGACTGAAGGAAACACTTTACTGCCGTCACACTTCTGTACAGTCAGCAGTACGATTTCACCTTCAGACTTTTGGTTTGTTGCTTTTAGTTTTACCGCTCTTCAACCGACCTGTCTGACATGATAGGACACCCATTAACTATAGTGTACACTCATGACTTCATAACCAGTTTAACCTGTACTCAAAAGGTTTAGCGGTTAATTTTAGTTAATTTTATATACGTATTTTTCAATTATATATTTAGACTTGTTGAATTCTTTCAGCTACATAATTTTATTACATTATCCATTATTGTTGGTATAATCGTAATGTTCTCACTGTTAGACCTGAAATTTCTTGGCTTAATCTTTGGTTGGGTACTTAATGTTAAGGAATCCCATAGTAGACCTGAACAGCTACTTTGTAGTTTTTGTCGAATTATTTTAATTGGTAATAGGTATATTTCATGTTATATCCTAATGAATAGAAAATTTCTATTTCTGGCGTTTAATGACCTAATGTAATTCACTATTTCAGAGTTTATTTGCCCTAAAGAAGTGACTTACATGAAGTCACGAAACGTCAGAAATACAATTTTAAAACTATCAAATGCAACCTTGACATTGATACCTATAAACTTGCATCTAGCCAATTTTAATATAAATTTCCTCTGTTTAAATTATGCTCCTCAAATGCTCCGGTACAGCCGAGGGTGGAGAGAGTCAGCTCTCCCTTTCGAAATGATATCACATGGTCACGAATATACAGTCATTGACAGGTAAGTCCTATTCACTGCCTTCTGGCGGCGGACGTGTCCTTTACAAAATTGAAAGGACGAAAAGCGAATGAACTGATTGTTGGTCACCGGTTACCATGGAACTGGATATCCTCACGATGCTCTACTGCCTTGTGGATCAAACCTTCAGGTCAAAGGCTCCCGGATGTGACTCCGTAAGAAAACCACCTGCTTCGGTCTGGGCACTCGGGCAGTATCACAGCCCACACACAAACAAAATGAAATGACATTATTTACTAGAAATACTGGAAAATTCACACTGAGAAAAAAACTATATAACTGTGGTTAAGGTTCATTTGAAAATAAAAGTGTAGCACTTTTCAGTAGTACGCATCAGTGACTCTTACAAAGTACTAACAGTAAACTATTTAGACCATTTGTTTTCCTTCAATGATAAACATTTTTGACGTCAATCAATTTGCAATCTAACCATGATAGGGAGATAAACATTTTCAGGTTAGATCACAAATTGTTAGAGGTGGTAACAGTAATAATGATTATGGAAAAGAACTCTAATATGGATAGTAAACACTATTACCTTCATCTAATGCTTATTGCCAATCGAATCATATTATTTGAGTTCGTAAGTGAATTCTAGTATGAATAAGTCAACGTTGATAATAGTTATTAGTCACTTATAAAAATTTAATTATTGTAGGATAGTAGTTCTAGGCCGGATAGCCCACTGATTTTATCTCAGAATGTATGGCCGCATAACGTGTGATTAAATCTCACTAGAACTGCCAGTTCTCTCAAGACTGTAGGTACCCCCTCCTGGCCAACTAACACGAAAGCTGGTTGGAGTACGATTTCTTGCAGACTACCTGAAATCACATAAAATCATCAACATTCTAATAATTCACTTTATTCAGATAAGTTTCACATAGTATAACGAGCAGTAGTTTGACCGTCTCAACACGCTTCTATGTACATCAGTTAGAGTGATCTAGCATTTAAATTAATCGACTTATCATTTGAGCACTACTATTTCTAAATTTATCTATCAATAACACAGTGAATTCAGTTGACTTGGGTGTCATTAAATCTATTTATGTTTCCTTCAGTTTCAAAGATTTATGAAATAAGTTGTCTTCAAAGAATTTTTAATGGGACTGTAACTCATGGACAAACTAATGAAGTTCAAGATAGCAAGTCTTGCATTTTGGTGCGAAATTCTTTCATTCATGCGTGTAAATATCATTTTGGCATTTTAAGTGATGTCAATTCGTGATGAAAACCCTAAACCCAGCTCCTAACTCTGAATCCTTATCTTAATTCCTCACAGTAATTTATAACTTTCCTTTGACCCAAGTAAGTGGTTGAAATTTCTTAGGATCACTTTATCACTCAATGGTCATCCATAAATTATAGTCTCAGCGAGGTTTCTATATCAAATGGTGGGATCACTGATTATTCATTATGAAACCAAAATCGAACTACTTCACCTTATAGCTAATATGTTCATATTCTACCTCTACTTAAAAAAAATTCACATATACGCCTTTGTGAGAAAAGGAGACAACTGTCCAACAACCCTCTGTGGAGCACTTCACACCCTTGGAACATGACATTTTATTCAAAAAAATATAAGTAGTTAATTTGGATTGGAAAATATCCTTAAAGAATTTCTTATATGCAGTCAATTGTGCTATATACTGAGGTTAGGCGTAGAGTAATTGGTAAAAATAGTAAATTATTTGATGCATCTATGATCCTTTGTCGTTTTAGATGATGATATATGTATTATAGGCACTTGAATATAGTCTTATTCAACAATGTCTACTAAGTTTAAAAACGTCGAGATCCAGTGGTACCAACATTTAATGCCAATGTTAATCATCTTGACATTGTAATATTCTGTGTTTATGGTTGCCTCACTTTAGACTATCAATAATACATAATTAAAGTATGCCTAGTTTAAATGGTTTATGCACAAACTTGTATTTGAGATGAATTTAGTTATTATAATAATCTTACTAACACACATACTTGATTTGTGAGTGGGCTGTGATATTGTCCAGGTATCTTGGTCGAAGTAGTTGCTTTCCTTAGGGGGTCACACCCGAAGCCTTTGACTTAGAGGTCTGATCCATAAGGCAGTGGAGCAACGTCAGGAAATGCAGTCCAATGGTAGCCGGTGACCAGCAATAGGTTCATACCCCAATTGTTCCTTCAGGATTCTGAAGCCCATGTGAACCATTGGTTTGGAATCACGATTGTCCAGCTACCTAGGTGAATCCTCCATATCCACCGAGCCAGTTAAAGCGCCGGACATTCACTTCTCATCCTCTCAATTTCGTAAAGAACGCGTCCACCGCGAGAAGGCAGTGAATAGGACTTCTGTGTCAGTGGCTGTATACCCGTGACCATATGAGATCATTTTGAGAGGGAGCGCTAACTCTCCCCACCCTCAAGCATACCAGGGAATCGTATACACAATATTCAATTTGCGTTCAAATCCAAAGAATGTAAATTGATAGCATAACTACAATCAATGTTGAATTTTAATTTTTTTCAGAAAGTATAAATGTATTTGGTAAACAAAAAAAGAAAAGATTAAAATATTAAACAAAATATACAGTATATGTGTACATATATTCCAATTACTATTTCCATTATCAATTATTTACTGAATAACTATTTACAAATTTAATGATTGACATGTAAAGTAGTGCCAAATATGAAATATACTATTATTATTAATGATAGACAAAATTATTTATTATCAGTATATGAGTTGTGGAGATTGTTACATTTTTGATTGAGATCATGAACCAATTGATGTCAGACGAAGGCCCTGGGTTCGAATCCCGCGAGCGGGATCGTGAATGCGCACTGCTGAGGAGTCCCACAATAGGACGAAACGGTCGTCCAGTACTTCCAGGTCTTCAATGGTGGTCTAACATCAATCTTTTCATGATCTCAATAAAAAAATGGTTTATGTCTGACTTTTATTAAGACAGATGAAAAAACAATAGACAGTAATTGTGACATCAATTCCTGAAGATTTTATTAATGTTAGACAATGGTATATATTGGATCCACTTTTAACTTTCTCCTGAAGATCCAATTTAATGATCGTTATGTGATATTTCAAACTTTTTATTCGTTTTGTTTTTCTTAACTACCTGTTTGTTTTTATCAATGTATTACTATTCTGAATCTTATGGTTTTCATAACATTCGCCAACACTATGTTTTACAAATGATCAGGTTAGTTTATTTGATCGATCATAATCGATACATCTAATTGTATCCTGTTAGAATTTTTGTGTCTTTTAATTGTCTCAGCGGTTTGTGTACAGGAAGTCAGCAAGACTTATAGATATTTGACAACATATCAGTGAATTTCAACATAACCAAATTTGAAAAGGCAACTACTATTCTGAATCAATATTAAATCATCAAAAAAAAAAGAAATGATTTTAATGCATTTTGAGTACAGAAATAAACTGTACTAGTTTCAATTTTTATACATTTATTTAATAAAATTCCTGTGTTTTGTAGGCACATCGGATGACTATGAAACTTGGATACCGCACTCATCTAATGAAGGTGGTAAAGACGGTTGTTTACTTGGTGTTCGTGAACAATTCAAACGATTGAAAAAAGATTCTCTGTAAGTAATTATATATGTATATATTATTTAAAAGTTTTTCAACTTAACCAATAACAATAGATACTGAACAATCTTTCATCATTTAAAGTGTAACGTCAGTTCTTACTTGAATAATTTTTCTTCTGGTTAGCGTTTTTTTCTTATCGAGTTAGTTTTCTACGGGATGGGGTCGCTAACCCCAGGTGGAGTTGTAACGTCAGTTCAATGGTATTAAAACCCTATAATAAATTTATTCTTTTTCTTGTATGGTTACCAAGTTTTACTTAGCAACGCTATATTTTTTTAAAAATTCTAAGTCAAACTTGGTCACTTTATCTTCTTTTTATGAGTGATAGCTGGTTGAACTCAATAGGTATGAAGCTTTCAATTTTTGTAATAATAATATGGACATTTCTTACTAAACGTCTACAATAACTAATTACAATTGTTGTGTGGACCTAGTAGTGTGAATCTTCCAATACGGCTCAGTTCAACAATTGATGACTTCATAGATTGATGTTACCTTTTTTAATTAGATTATTTTTGAGTTTGATACGATCTACCCAGATTCCGTAAAGAGATAGCTCGTCAATAGATTTGTTGTTTAGTGTAAAAATTACTTTCGCTTCTTACAGTTTACTCAAAATAAGCCAAAATTAATCGAATTCAGCACAAGTGATCATAAGGTTTTTTTAAAACTTTGCCTCCGAATCACTCAATAATCAGTAAATGTCCCAAAATGAACTTTATATTTAAATTAATTAGAACAAGGGCAATTAATTATGCACTCAAGAATTAGTTTACGGCTGATAAAAAAAAAACGCAGACAAGGATGATAACACCATTTTGTGATTATAGTTAACCAAATGTAAATTACGTATAGAGACATTGTAACAGCTCTCTCCTCTAGATTCTGTTAAAAATGTTTCAGCTAAATGATTGAGCTGTTGGACCTTCAGTGTTATCCTGGACAATATTATCAATGTTTTCTTCAATTAAAATTTATCTCAGTTGAGATCATGAGTTAATTGAAGCTAGACCACCATGGAAAACCTTGAAGCACTGGACGGCCGTTTCGTCCTATTGTGGGACTCCTCAGAAGAGCGCATACAAGATCCCGCCTCGTGGTACTCGAACCCACGACATATCAGACTCATACGCGAGCGCCTAACCTCTAGACCAATGAGCCGGCTGGCATCCAACGATGTTAATGTATAACTTCAAATAATCCACAAAATTGAGTGACACATCCACCATTGTCATCAGTGAGTTGCTATCTCACATTAGACCCGGTTGAACTCCACTGGTCACTACTTCTCATTAGAACTCCAGGATATACATCTTGAAGCCAGTCTCTAGTGAGCATATGTTGATTAGCATCAGATGGGGTTATCTGGAGATTTTAGTAATTCCAACAGTTAAAATCATGATTTAATTGAAGCTAGACCATCATGGAAAACCTTGAAGCACTGGACGGCCGTTTCGTCGTATTGTGGGACTCCTCATCAGTGCACATCCACGATCTCACCAAACGGGGTTCGAACCCAGTTATATTTCATGATCAATACAAATTTCACATATGCATAAATTAAACAATGTCAATGTTATTCAGAACAACAACGAAATCTTCATAATTAAACCATCGAACTCAGCTGACACAATAACATCGAGATGATTCACTTGAACTATAAATTATCTTCATTAGTTTGCTTCTATTTTCATCGTTTTTGCCTGATAACGTTGTTTACAATATTTATTCTAAAGTATCCAACTCAATGAATGCAAAAATGAATGGTACATATGCGTTTGTACTGTTTGTTAAATTTTCAATAAAAGAATCGACAGTGGTTTTGTTATCCATTGTAATAAATATAACCAATGAGTACATTATGATCATCCCATGAGAGTAGCGGCATATATGGTAATAACGGTAATCTAAAGTGAAATAGTTAGATATTTGTTTTGTTTTCTCAAAAATACACGAAACTATTTTTAGTTATCTTGTGTTTCTATATTAAAAATTAAGGATCATTTAAGCTGAATGGTAATAAAGGTGATCTAAATGCAAAACAAAAATATTTTCATTTTACCATGATATACTACTAAAATACGGTAATACGACCGATGACCAAGATTATACTACTACTAGACTGGATACTCAATCGATACGCTCTATACAGACTGAATCCTATTGTACCAGGTAAAATATTCACTGCCAAATATAGAAAACTAGGGTATAGGCTAAACATTACTTTATTCAACACAGTTACAAGCAGATTACACTTAGTGAGTTCGGAATAGAAACCAATGGTAGGAAGGAATTCATAAGTTCAGTAGTCAGTAAGCTAACTATGGCAGTTTACGATCAGTGGCTAGTCATATTTACTTTTACCAGCATACATCGGATCATGATGACAATGTCTATGATAGCTATAACTTTGACAGTAGAAGATTGTACAATGTTATGATTTCTGTACAGTTTATAGTGAATGGCAATCTGTTGAACAAAAATTTTCCTTTTCCTAATATTTGATCATTTATTTTGCATAATCTAACTGTCGATTTTAATGTGATTGAAGGAAGACTTATAACTCCAGTTGATGACTAATAGTTTCACTCTTTAAGATGTATTACTTAGTTATGAGGCTTTCATTATTCTTGTGGACAACCTATTCGTTAGCATAAACTTTAAATAGAAAGGTACTATTCGAATTTCTCTCTATATGACTGCCAGCTTGTTATGTAGACATTAACATTGTCAATGATAAGACATGGAACAATAACAACCAATCAAGACCAAGGTCAATAGAACAAGCTGTCATCCATATAGGAGAAATTTGACTAGCCTACTTCTGCTTGAAGTTTATACTGATGATAAAGTTGTCCGGAAGAATCATGAAATCTCCACGAATAAGCAATTCAGTTCAGAAAATGAAACTCCTCCACAATATCTTAATTTGTTCTGTATGTATGTTCAGTTAAGTTCTAATCGTTATATATGTTGTGTTATATTTGTGCGTTTGTGTCCGTGTATAGGTGTGTTTGATTAGAGTCTACATATCGCTATCAACAATTTGATGCAAATTCATTTCTCTCTGTACAATATCAATACTTCTAAGGAAAGAAAAATGACTGAAAGATTAAATAAGTTTGGAATAATTAGAAATAGTGAGATAGTTTGAAACAATCTAATATATTTTACAATTATTCTTTCGTTTCCTTATTAAACAGTGAAAAAACATTACCTATTCTAATTGTTTTTCAATACAATTTACTTCTATCTGAAGTTTGTGCTGATGATGTCGTTCAGAAGAACGATGAAAGCTCCAAGACCAAACCATCCAGCTCATAGAACAAAAACTAACTGATATAGTTGAAGTTATTTTATACAATGATCATCAGTAGTATTTCCACTGTTAATACCATAAAACAACAATAAATATTGAATGTTACCCTTAGAAACTTATATCTAACTAAATGATAAACTATGAGAAGATGAATTCACTTGGTATTGTTTGGTTTGTATCTTCTCATTGAGGTTTAAGACTGGAATTGATCAGTCTGTTATTGGCATATGTGCATACTGTGCGTATGCCTCGATATTACCTTAATTCACAAGTTATTTGTAAGTAAGCCAAACAATACCAAGTGAATTCAAATTCACCCCATTGCACAAGCAAGTGGCTATCAGGACTCAGTAGCTGAGTGGATAACGCGATGGCGTTTGAAGCTAATGGTACTGGGTTCGAGTCCCAGAGTGGACATCAACTCTGAGATACAGGTACATCCAGCCGACGAGCCTCAGACAGGACGAAACGCGCGTTCTTGATTCTACTGCTAGCCCCTATGAGAAGTTGAGCCTTGACTTGTGATTGGGTAGAATAACCAAATTTTCCTTGCAATAATTAATAGTTAGATTTAAATAATTATAAATTAAGATAAAATTACACAATGAACAAATATCATAACTGAGTAAAAACATAAGAGAAATTCACCATATACAATAAAATAAAAAATTGAAATAATTAGTAACTGGAATTGTAACAATCTTTGCCAAATAAATATGTCAGTGGACACCCGATTTTGAAATCGAACGTGCACAAACCAAATGATGACACGACGGACCATCGTTGAACATTCAATTCGATGGAACTTGTCACTATATATCAACTTCCTTGATTATGAGAAAACATTTGACAGCATGGATAGTATGACCGTATAAAACCGACATTGTGGTGTTTCTGAAAAGATCATCAACATGATAAGAAGTTCATATGATGATCTACACTGAAAAGTTATTGATGGAGGGCATTTGACAAATGTATCCCTAGTGAAGATATATGGATGTCAAATGAAACTGGTTACTCTCTCCCTTTTCCTTTCTTCTGATGGTTGACTAATTTATGAAAGCCTCTACATCAGATGGGTATCACGGAATACAATAGATAACAGATTCGTTGGCCAGACAACACCTGCAAAGACTTACTGTGACATAGAACAAACGAGCTTCCATCTATGAAGGAAATTGAGGAAGGACGTTGGGAGTGCACAGTACACACATTATGGAAATCATTGAAGTTCATCAAAAGACAAGCCGTAACTTGAAATTCTGACGACAAACGTAGAAGAATAAAAAAGATTTCCAATGCTTTCTAATTCTCAATGATGTTCCAACAGAAATACAATCTCTAATAAATGTGACTTACAAATTTAACCAGTCTGTACAAAACCCCTTTCACCTAAACAATTTTAATAGTTCTAATCATAAGTCCATTGAAGCTACATTGATAGATCTTGGGTTCGAATCTCACGAGGCGGGATCATGGATTTGCATTGTTGAAGAGTCCTATAACAAAGACAAAACGGCCTTCCAGTACTTCTATATTTTCCATCGTGGTTTAACTTCAATTAACTATAATATCCACACAAAACCCCTTCCGATACTAAACACTAATTATTAGAATTAATATTATCTGTCTATTAAAGTACTTTTATTTATTATGTAAATTATATTACATATA